GTTCTTTAAAGTTACATGAATCTCGGGTCTACAGCTGATGCAGTTGAGCTACATTAGTAAAACATTTGCAGTTTTGTGTTTGGGGAATATGCAGCTTATTTGATAATAACAGATCTAAGAAGACTTGAACTTAATTTATATATTAAACTTTGGGAGAAACCACGATCAAGAAGAACCCTGAAACACTGCAATAGATTATTCTTAGAGAAAGAAACGTCTCCAGACTTTGAGAACAGTTTTCTGTCAAAACAACAAAAAAAAATCCGAGACGCTGACTGAAGGGATTTAAAAAATCCTAAACCCACAAAGCAAATCAAAATTAGACAGAGGTAGAAGGTATAAAGATTTTAATTTGAAACACAATGCACAAGCACAGAGGAACTTCTTTCAGTTTGCAGAAATACTGAAGGGAAAAAACCTGCAGGGGAAATGCTTGGCTTTTACTGAGAAGAGCAAAAGAGCTTCTTGGGGTATTTAAATATTAGGTTGTCAAAATACAGGGACTGATGTCCCTAAGCCAGCTACCTGCAACTCTCTCAACCTTTTACTGGTTTTTGGTTTTTGGTTTTGTTTTTTTAATTTTCCATAAACCTGGGACTGAAAGTGGAAACATCTGAAGTTTAAAACACAAAAATGAAGGCACACAAAATCAGTAAGGCATCAAGTCACACTTGTGGCATTCGTTTTACTACATAATTCAAAAATATGTAAGAACAAAAGTGTCGTAAATAACCATAATGACAAAGCAGAGGAAGACACTGGACTAACATTTCCTTCTACTTTAGGAGGCAAGCACTGAGTCTCAGCTGTGCCAGAACTGCCAAGAAGTGCTAAAAGGATTTCAGTATTTCTTGCATCTTGCTTATCTGGGTATATTTGCACCTGTTTAAGCACAAATAAACAAAAAATTTTAATCAGTCCTCCAAAGGTGTGTGGCATTTCAGAAAGCAGCATCAGCTTCTGGCAGTGTATTATAAATACCTCTAACAGGAAGAGCTGTGGATTATAAACTCATATAAAATTTTTATCCAGTGCAAGTAGTAAGATCTCCAGCCATTCTCTGGGTGCCAAGGCATTAGGCTTTCTGTTTAAAAACCCAGACATTTTATACTTTGTAGGACTAGTCATTACTTTTGTACATTGTCAGCTTCAACCAACGTGTTTCCCTGTGAGTGTTTTTATCTCAAAAATCTTGCATTTGTGCACACATTTTGTGGCAAGTGCTACCAACAGGTCAGTCTTTAGACACAGAGTTTATCAAGGCTGCTCACAGATCTGAATTTGAAATCTCTCCTTCACTCTGCTCAACTTGTTTTTATCAGCTTGACAGTATTTGGCCTTGGACAAATGACAGGAATTAGGTTTTCTTCATTTATAAACATGAAGCAGTCAAAATTCACTCAGAATATTTACAATATTCTTCAGTCTGATCAGTTAGTAACTATTTTAAAATAGAGTGTGAAATTCAATCAGTGCAATACTATTTAATGATAGGTTAATGTGCAAAAAATTATTTTTATTAATAGTAACAACTTAATACGCAAAATGGGTCAAAAGTCAGAATTTCAGACTATTTCACACAATGATACAAACAATATTTTCAGCTAAGACAATTCATACTATGAACTATGAATATGCTTCAGATAACAAGCCATGGTCTAAAGATACTTCAGGTGACTACAGATACCTTTGGAGATATAAAGAAATAAAAAGGTCTTTTTCAAGTTGTTTATTTTTCTCCCCCAACAAACATACAGAGATAGGTGTAATCCCATTTCTGGATCCAAGGAAAAAAAAAGTGAAAATTTAATCTTTCTTGAATTATCCATAAATCGAATTAAAAATATGTAACACTCCTGTGCTTTCCCCATCTCACCTGTCTGAGTCAGAATTTCCTCTGCAGTAATTTGCTCTGTAACAATGTCTCGATGATTTTACTGATTAAAAGCTCTAATCAGGCAAAGATTTTACATATACCTGGACCTACATCTAAATGTGTCTGCACACAAAACTTATCACAGTCCTGCTGCATCACTGGAATGACCGAAAGGCTTCAAAGAAGTCATCATTTTGATCTTTCTATATGTCTCCTCTTTTCTTTGTAACACCAAGAGCTGTGGAGAACAACATGTTAGCACAGACTTTTGCCTGCCCTTTGTTGAGGTCTGAAGCAAAATGCTCCTAAAAACCCAGGCAAAACTAGGACTTTGGCTTCTTAGACTTTTTTAAAATTATAAACTTGACACTTACAACCTGAGGGAAAGCTGTAAACACTTATCTGGGCCAATGTCTTTCAGGTACTCTTATCAAGGATGTTCCTCCAAAGCTGGGTCACTGTAATGAAAATACCTTTTCAGCACAATTCTCTACTTCAGTGACGTGGGTTTATTCTCTGCTTCGAATCTGAGAGTGGACTGATGTTCAGTGGAACATGTTCATACTCACATTTACATACGACACTGAAGGAATAATCTTTTTGTAGCTTACCCACAAAAGACCAAGGCTCCTCAAGAGAGATACAACTCAGCCATTCCTTCTGCAGTCAGTCCATTGTAAAACCAGTTACTTCTGAAAATTACACAAATGCAAAGTGATCTGTGAACTCTATTTTGCATAAAGAATTGTAATAGGAGCGTAAACGCATTTTACATCTAAGAATCTCTAATTTTGGCACCATTGCAAGGGGACTGTGATTTTCTCTTGTCCCATGTAGTACATTCAGAGGTGATCACATCATCTCCAAGAGACAGAACAACTGAAATAGGCCAGGGAGGCCCATTAGAGCAGACACAGAGTAATTAAAAAGACTATAACGTTCTAGTTAGACAAGGAGATAACTCAAGAAAAAAGGGTCATTACGTTTCTAAAGAGACAAATAAAATCATGTGCAATTTAAGTTCTCAGAAAGGCCAGTAATGCCTTCCATCTGTTGAGTGCAGTTTTGGAAGCACAGGAGGAAAGTCTGATCCTTGATCTGGCACAGGATTCAAACAAGCAGCTTAAATATTTGAGAAAATTGCTGAAACTAAAGGTAGTTGTTTGAAGTTAATCATCAAATTAATCACTTTCCTGAAACAACTTAGTAAGTGTTAATACAGAGTAATCCATGTGTTTTTAAGCCTTCTGGTAGAGCTGAAAGACATCAGTATGTTCATCTTAATAGCAGGGCAGAAAGACAAATTATTTCCTTTAAAAAAAATCAGTGATATACTATTGAATGTAAGGAGACTATTGATACACATATGTTCATTCTGTGATTCTGTAACTTCAGGGTAAAAAGGAAAAAGGTAATAATACCAATTAGAAATTAAAACAAATTAATATTTTGTTTTTACATTATCTCTAATTAAAGTGTTTCCATTTTTATGTCAGGTTGCTCTTCTTAGAAATATACCTTTTAAAGAAAAAATTAGATTTCCTGTTGAAATGTTTTGGCACAACTAACTACTGCACATCACCAGGTATTGTCACAGCGTAAGGTGATGAAAAATATGGATGGGGAAATGTAGCTCTTTTCCCCACTATTGCAATGTACGACATGCTGCCAGCATGAAGCACTGATCAAGTCAAAACAAAACAAGTAACAACAGAATGCTGGTAGGCATTCACTGCCACTGAATGAAATACCACTCAAGTCAGAGAGGTTTTGGGGGTGTAACTGAGATCAAAGTTTGGCATAAAAATCCGTCTATAATGTCAGCTTTTCCCCCTAAAGCTACTGCAGCTAATACATCACAGACTTCATTTCACTGAGAGAAATATTCTCTATACCAAAATTACTGTTTTAGTTTAGTCACTTCAACCTAAAAATGCAGTTACTAAAGACTGAACATTGGGTAAATGCTACTGTGGGACAGCATCCTCAACCAGCCAAGGAATTTCACACGGGTTATTGGAAAGATGCAGAACAAGCAGGAAGGAACGCAGCAGCACAATCCTTCCAGCACTCGGTATGCTCTTAAGTGTACTACTAGGTGTGTGTGTGTGGGAAATACAGGTAAAAGAAAAACCCAAGTGATGCAGCTTTCCAGGAGTTCCCAGGGGAGTGACACAAACCCGCAGTCCCAGCCCGGCCGTTCCCAGGCTCTCCCAGGCGGAGCCGCCTCACGGCGGGGGCAGCGCCGGGCACAGGTCACACACCCGCACGGACCCAGCTGGGAAGGGCGGCTTTGTCCCCGCTCCCCGGTGACTGCGGGTGTGGTTTCTGGTCAGGTTTTTGCGACACAACACGTCGGAAAAATCCCGCTCCAGGAGGGGGGTCAGACTGCCAACAAACACAAACCCCCTGCACAGGCGGCACCCGCGCTCAGCCCCGGCGCTGCTTCCGCTCCCCGCCTCCCGCCCAGGCTGGGCTCGGCACTTTCGTTCCGGGGCCTGCGAGGGCCGCGGAGGAGCAGAGCCGGGAGGCGGGTGAGGAAGGGCTGGAGCCGGGCAGGGCATGAGGAGAGGAGCGGGGCGGCGCGGTGGGGAGGGAGGAGGCAGCGCTGAGGGGCCGCGCTGTGCGCGGGCGGGCTGGGGCGGCCCCGGGCGGGGGAAGCGGCTCTGCGGCCGCGGGGCCTGCGGGACGGGGCCCGCTCAGACGAACCCGAGCGGCGGGAGCGCTTTGTTATTCCCGTGAGAGATCCCGGCCCCGAGGTCGGTGCCCGCCGGTGCCCTCAGCCCGCGGTGCTGCGACCGCTGCGCTCACATCAGGGGCAGCGGCAGCAGGGCACGGCGGGGGGAGCTCATGGCACCCCACACACCCCCCAGAGCTTCGCACAAGCCACGAGATGTCCGGACCGAGATCCGGAGTTGCAGTTGGAATGTGGAGGGAACCCTCCAGCAGCACCGATCTATCGGGGGTTTGGAGATCGGGTGTAGATGGGGTTATTTACAGTCTTAAAAGTATGTCTGAAGTGAGATTTGGGTCTTACAAGTTGCATGAACTGTGTTGCTGTCATTTTCTACTGAGTACTGTATGAACACAGCTGAAGTTGGGCACAGCTCTTACGGTGAGGCCACAGCAGATCCCGTGCCGGTATCAGTAACAAAAGTGCTCCGGGGTGTCACCGTCGAGCACCACGGAGCGTGAGACGTTATGTACTGAAAAGAATCGGTTTGCAGGCGGGGAATGCATGTCCAATTCCAGGGCCTCTCGCCCGCTCTGCTGCTTGAGGAAACTTGATAATAGTGTGGCTTGGTCTGAGATGTAATGTATATTTGCTTTATCTCAGAGATATTTGACAGCAAATTGCACTATAAATTTTGTGTGCATGTTAGATTTTGTGTTTATTTGAATGGACGTCCCTGACCTTTCAGAAGTTAGACTTTGTCAGAAGGGGAGGGCAAGGCATCAGAGCATACTTGAGTATCTAATTTTACCAGACCATAACAATCTTTTTATAATTAAGGCATTAATTTTAATTTTTTATTGGAAAGTTAGCTGAGTTTTTTTGTTTTAATATTTTTCAATTAAATTACACTTGGTTTTATTTAAACACTTAATTTTGGATCACATCTCAGAAATTATGGTTTGTTTCTTTTTGTTAAACATGACTGTTTTGTGACATCATTTCATAAGTGTGATCCCTGACATGAAAAAGTAAACCTAAATTAGCCAAAAGTAAATACTGAGAATGACTTTTTTTTGATTTCCAGTGATGCAGCACAAAGTGCACCAGGCAGTTTGTAACTACTGCAGGCTGCTGGCTGGGGGCTGCTTTGAAGATCAGAGAGGACCCTGAGTGATCTGTCAGAAGGGCTTTACTAAAGCCTGGAGTGACTCTGAGCCTGAGCTCCCAGAGCACTAATTCTGTCTGCACTGGCTGTGGGCTCATGGTCCCTGTTCTGATGCATCGCTCAGAGTACACGGTGAAACTTCTGCACCAGCTGCAGAGGGGGAGACAACACCTGTGTGGAAGAAAGCCTGGGACAAATCCATCAATGGTACTAAATAAATACAGACTTGCAGAACAAATCTAGACTGGGTCAGCACTTCCTATCTGGCACATGGAGCACCAAAGCCCTGTTCCAGCTCTTCTAATTTCAGCCTGAAGCTTTGCTCTTGGAAGATTTATCCTAGCTCACAAAGTTCTGCCCAGGAGGGATTTCATTCAGGGTATTTGGTTGGTCCACACACAATAAGTTTCAGGATAGAGATCTAAATTTGTACAATTAACTTTTCTCTTATGGATTTCTATCCTATAGGCATGTAATTCATTGTTGGTAGTCATGCTGAAGACTAATGGGATTGCTCATCCAGGTAAACACTGCTTAGCAGTGTTTTCTTAAACTTTTAGTCCCTAATCCTAAGAATAGAAAAAAATATATTTCTGCAGGAATTAAGTGAGTGGGATAGCTTAGTAAAATCATGCCTATTATGTGCATTAAGGAGGCAGATCTCAGGTTCTTTCCATCTGTTTGTCTCATGCCCTCCTGAAATCTCTTTGGAGTTCTTGGTGCTATAATAACTGAATCAGATGGTTTTATTACTCTTTCTGTTGTAGGAAACACCTTCTCTGATGAGTATTTTTTTGTTAAATAGCATAATACAGAATAATTTTCAATACGTTAGTTCATAGTAACTGGATTTTTATTTAACAACATATTGTGTGTTTCAGCTAACCATGTCTTTGAGTTCATCTACACAAGGACCAAAAAGAAGTACTGAGTGTTTGGACAGCCAAGAACAGCAGACTCCATCATCATTTCAAGATAACCCTCTTCAGCAATTACAGTTAGCATCCCAGGAAGTGCTGGAAAAGGCAAAAAAGAGTGGGAGATCAAAATGCCCCCGATGCAGTAGTTCAAGGATGTTTTATTGTTATACGTGCTTTGTTCCTGTTGAAACTGTCCCTACCAAAGAAATTCCAACTGTGAAGGTTAATATTTTTCATGGATTTTTTTTATAGTATTCTTATGCCTTTTAGTTACTGTGGACAGAGAACAATCTGCAGCCATTTCTTTTCTGACTTTCTCTTCATGGACATTCATCTTTAACACAGCTTAAGTGTGAATAAACTGCAGTTAGATAAAATTATTGCTCTTATTTGAGGAATTGCATGTAGAAACACTGAAAATGTTCCAGCCCTCACATAAACACTCTACTAGATGAGAATACAAGCTGTAGTCACTCAGCTTCTCATTCAGCTGTGTTTTCACTTAGTTCTTGGAAGTTTCTTTACAGTGCTCTTGCTCATTCCTCAATTTCTATGAGTCTGACCAGAACAGATCATAATGTGAATAAAAAATGTGATTTGTCTATAACCAAGAGTGAATTTTACATAAAATGTGAGCTAAAAGGCATTCCTAAATGTCATAGTTGTGTAATTCAGATAATCACTCTCAAAATATAAATAAATAGGGTAGTGCCCTTCAGCTAAAATACTTGCAGAAACCACAAAGAAGACTGAGACATTTTGCAAAATCAGCTAGGAACTAAGATGCATTTTGAAGGTACAAGATGGAAAGCATTGTGAAAATACTTTAGAAGTACTTTGGAAATTTGACCTATTGAATTTAGGTGTATTTTCATTGAAATGGCCATTTTTGCAACTGGATAAATACCTAATAAAGTATTCATATTTAGAACCATTATATTGCTCAAATTAAGACCCCCATCTTATTTACCTAATGGATTCTACTTCTAGAGGTTGTACCATGCTTCTTCTCAGGTATTTCCACAAACTGAGAGAATGTAAAAGATGCCTCTTGTCACCTGTCTGTAGTTTAGTTCCAAGCCTGTTAAAACAAAAACATTATCCAAAATTGTCAGATACGTTTTAATTACACCCCTGTAGGGATTTCTCCTGAATTTTGCATAAGATTTGTACAAATATTTATACCTTTATGATCATAAATATTCTCCTTTTTTAATTTTTTAACTGCAGTTACCTTTGAAGATTGACATTATCAAGCACCCAAATGAAACTGATGGCAAGAGCACTGCTGTGCATGCAAAGCTGCTGGCACCTGATGATGTTACAATTTATAAATACCCTTGCATTCCAGAGTATGAAGAAAAGAGACATGAAGTAAGAAAACTGTAGCACTGTCTAATCACCTTGAATTTCCTGTTTCTCCACCCTACATAAGTGGATTGATTGTGGACCATAAAAATATTTTGCCCACATATGAAAGTATTCAACGTGCAGTAAGTTAAACAGCAGTTAGTTAAACAGCATAGCAGTGTCATATTCAGCAGCTGCAGTGTTTAAACTTTGAATTAACATGTTTTTTAACATGAATTTAACGTTATATTAGAAAATAGAATTTTTTTAAGAGATACTATTGAATCTTGTCCTGACTTAAATGCTTTTAGGCAGGGATATAAAGTTTCTGTTCTTTAATGGAAGAATTCCTGGCGTTTTATTAGATTTTATTGACACTCAGATCTCTCTCTTCTTTTCATTCAGATAGCACTTATCTTTCCTGGCCCCAATTCGGTTTCAGTAAAAGATATTGCTTCCCATCTCCAAAAGTACTCCAGAAAAGGTGCCTGCAACAGTGATGATGACTGTTCCAAAGAACCAGTTCTCAAGCAGGCAAAAATAGAACCTAAAGAAGAAAAAAGTCCAAATGAATGCATCTCAAGCAGCAGGAATGAAGGCACTAGACTGAAGAAAGTAATATTTATTGACAGTACCTGGAATCAAACTAACAAGATAATAACTGATGAACGACTTCAAGGTAAAAAACACAAGTGGATATTGAGATGTTATTGTTGCTGCAGAAACGTTGAAGGGATGTGTGTCTATAACAGACCTGAGCATGATATAAGTGTATGTCTACCCCTGCATCTGAGTGCACATGAAAGACTCGACAGGCTGTTTCAGGGCTGTAAATACTTCCTGAGCCAAAGACTCCATGACTTTCCGTGTCATATAATTTGGTTTGCAAAATGACAATACTGAAGAAAGCGTTGACTTTTATTTCTCTCCCTTCTCTAGTGGAACAAATCTTGTCTCACAGAGTGGAAGCTCTCAGGTTAGACAGTAGAACAGTAGTTTGAGCTATCTCTGAAGAAAGTCAAAAAGGATTCCTTTGCAGATGGTTCTCTGCTTTTTCAGGAGACCAGGGGAGCATTTTTGTACACAGTGGAAGCAGACAGGCCACTGAAAGGTGAACGAGGGGTTTAGGAGACACAGCACAAGCATGTCATGGCTTGGGTTCTCTTTCTAGTGTTGTTGTTACATTTTGATGATCTCGTTACTTTCCAGATAAAAAAGGAATTCCTGCTGGCCCTCTGTACCCTCCCAGCTCTGAATGCAGAGACTGGTAACTCTACAAAAGTCTTTTGTCTTAGATTCATTACAAGAAGTTTACATTTAAGAATTCTAATTAAATCCACAAAAGGTAGAACAGTTTAGCAATAGCATTCCATTTCCTTGGAGATGAATAGGAGTTTGAAAACACTTTGATTGGTGGAAAAGGTGCACTTAGCTGGGACACAGCCCGTCAAGTTTATGTGCAATATATATAACTACTAGAGCCTGCTTTGCACTGGATCCTACAAGGAACTTCACAGACTGTCTTCCATGGAAGATGAATGTTGTCTTGCTGTCTAGTCAGTTTATTAAAGAATCCCACATGTTACTATAATGTATTGGCTAATTAAAATCCTGCTACAAGTGTTTAGTTTAATACAAAACATGCTCTATCAACTACACTGAAGTATTACTGTAACAATTAGAGTAATTGCATGTTGCACGTTTCTGTAAAGCATTTGGAACTTATTTTAAGGGGATGAATTCAAGAAAAGTAATAGGCAGCCAGGGGAACTGAAGATTTCCATGGAAGCTTATGCAGTATTTCAGTAAAAAAGCCATAATGGGTGTTAGTTTGGAGCTCTCACAAAGGATGGTTTCCACTTCCGCCATGACAGTGCTGATCTGGTGGATTCTTCCCTCCTTTTTAGATCATCATCTCGATTCTTTCTCATTGCTTTCCTCAGTGCCCCTCATACAGAACATACATTGCATTATCACTCCTTTTAGAGATTACAGGTTTGACTTCCAAGATGAACGGGGCAGAGTTCCCTTAAGCATAAACTGATGAGGGTTTTATGCTGTACACACATGGAAAATAGAGAACTGTTGTCATTTTTCAGTTCAATTGCAAACGAAGTCATCATCCAGCAAAATATTCCTGCTATATTAAAGTTCAAAAAGAAGTGATCGTAATTCCAAATAAGTAATTGCCATACTTATTCAGAAAGATTAAGTTACAAGAAATACTGGATGGAAACATTAATGAAGCCAAGAAAATTTAAAGAAAAACCTTGTGCTTTGCAACCTTGTATTTATATAGAGAGTAAACCTAGCAAATTGTACTGCAAGAGAAAGCAAATGAGTACATTAATCTTTAGAAAAAAAGAGCCTTGAAAACTTGGACAAAATAAGTACTTCTATATCTTCTTGTAAAAGTGGTGTAATATATCTTTAGAAAGCAAAACTAAACCAGTTGTGTTAAAGACAGGAAATATTTGAAAGTTGGTAATGTCTAGGATTGATGACTTCATTAAAAGTGGTCTCTAGATCAGAAAGGAAACAGTTGAATCTAATGTTAATAATTACTTTCTCACAGGAGTGATGGAGCTTATTGGCAACATCAACATGGTTGTTAAAGAAACAGATTACTTTGATTTTTTTCCTGTGAATTTGATCCACTTCATATTAGCCAAATACTTTATTAGCTTACACATTAGTATTGTAAGCTTTCATATGCAGGATCCATATTTGTAATAAAACATTGCCTTTGGCTGTACATACAGTACAAATGAAACATGCTCAGTAAACTCTAACCCTTAACCCCCTCTGTTTTTCTTTTTTAATAAAAAACTATAAAAGTTTTCATTTGAAATTATCTGATCCTGCATTTGTGGTAAGCTCAGTAGTGTCCATGGTCTTGCCTTCAATGAACTTTTGGTTGTATTTAAACCACAACTATGTGGGAGTTTGTGTTGGAGGAATTTCCTTCACTGCTATTCAGGTGGAAGTGTCTCTGAATTTGATGGAAGTTTTCACTTTGGTTATGGCTGAGAATTCACAACTTGTGAGGGAAACAAGCTTACTGCAGTTTCTTACTGCAGTGTCCTACTACTATTTTAACTTTCACATGTATAGAATTATTAGAGGTAATAATTAGACTATATTATTTTGAGGTTTTGTTCCCAAAATGCCAACAACAACATTTAAATTTAGAGACAGAATCTTCTGGTTTTTTTAAACACTGTAGCAGAGACTTGTTTTGCTGTGCAGGATATCATACATTGCTAACTGCAAAGCAAACAACTAAATCCATCTTGCAGTTACACTGGAAAGAATTAACCATAGTTGGAAGGTAGAAGGTGTAGGATTAAAGTGCTGGGCTATAGCCAGTTCGTGCTCCTGAATCTGGACCTTACTGAAAATTCTCTCTCCAGAACTTCCAAGCAATTCTTAGACTATATTGTTATTTATACTATTACTTGTGCTACACCATCTCATGTGACACGATATCAGGGTTTGACATTTAGAAAAAGGTAACTTTACAACCTGCTCCTGATATTATTGACAGGTGTATCCACTGTCCTTTATCATCCAGCTGTCCATCCTGTTTACAAAGTGATTACACACCAAGGTGGCTTTAGTTTTGAATAGTTTGTGCATCTTAAGGAACATAACCAAGATACACATTTAAAATTCATCTGATTAATAGAACATTACAGAGACTGTGGTAGATAAAAGATTTTCATGTGCCATACAGACACCAAGTTCCTCCTTTCATCTCAAGTGGGAATGCTTTTAGTTTCTAATAAAGTTAATTACCAGATTCTGTCATACTTACTCCTTAGTAATCTCAGTGAGATTTCAGTTACTTAACAAGCATAAATGAAAAGTTTCTGGCTCTTGCAAATAGTCCTCAATCAGCAACACTAAAAGTCTGAAGGATTCTGTTTTACACTTGGAAGTTATTAACTTTGCAAAAGATGAAGTAATAATTTTAAGAACCTTGATGAGTCTTGGTAGGTGTGGGTTTCACTCTTGCCAACTGAAGAGTCCCTGCAGTTTACTGAGGGCTGTGAGGCTGTGGAATGAAAGGATAACCTGTAATTAATTGTAAATATGAAGATTGTAACCTTGTACTTGCAGCACTTTTCCAACAAATTTCAAAGTGGTCCACAAAGAAGGATAAAATTGTTGCCTCAGGTTTACATATGAAAAATGGAGGTACAGGCAGAGAAATGATTTGCATGCTGATTTGCATCCAGCAGGGCAGCAGCAACGTCAGAAAACAAAACTAAAGTCTTGTTTGGCATCCTGGCCACCAATCCACATTGTCTAACCTGTGTCATCTTCTGTCCTTGACAGGGTTGCTACAGATCGAGTTGAAGACAAGGAAAACTTGTTTTTGGCGCCATCAGAAGGGAAAGCCAGACACGTACCTGTCCACAATAGAAGCCATTTATTATTTCCTTGTGGACTATCACCAGGAGATTTTGAAAGAGACCTACAAAGGACAATATGATAATCTGCTTTTTTTCTTTTCATTTATGTACACATTGATTAAAAATGCCAAGAGTTGTGCAGGAAAAGAGTAAGATGTCTGTCTGTAGGTGCATTACACAACCTTTGTTTCTGTGATGCACAAACATAACTGCACAAACATAACTATTTTTGTCTGACTGAAATCTGGAAATGGACTGTACAGTGGCCACAGTGTTTGTCCAGAGATAACCTGCAGACCTCGTCCTGCACACTTGAGGTTGTAGAACTACTCAGATGAGGCTCTGATCAGAGTTATTTTTTTGAAAACAGTTACACTTTGCTAAATCTTGCTGGATTTCATCCTACAGGTCTGATGTGCTCACTGTGATGAGCACAGTTCCTGAGGTGGGGATAGGAGGACTTGACCTCTCTTGCCATAAGGATTGATCTCTAACTGTAAAAATCAATTAACATGCTGGCTTTTTATTGTTACTAATAGTTCGTGTCAGGTGTTTTCTTTGTGTTTTACACAGTAATAAAGATTTCACCTGACAATCAAAAGCTTATGGAAAGGAATAGGTTGGTATTTAACTGGGGAGGGTTGCACCAATACAAAATGAAAGAGCACATTAATTGAATACAAATTATCTACCTTCAAAAGTAAATCTGGAAAATTGTTCTAGTAATAAAAAAGTGGTCTCTTTAAACATACAGTGTATGATTTCTGTAGTGCCATTCACATACTGTTATATTAAGATTATTCTCAACTTGGGTAATTTTAGACTTCTTCAAACAAATTTAGTTAAGTGTTTATTATTATTATTATGTAATATTATTTTGGGGAACACCACCTTAATGAATGTCACTGTGGCCTATTTTGTAGTAACATTTTGTGGGTGCCATGTGCTTGTGTTGGAAGCAGCAGAATGGGCTCATTGCACTGCAGGAGCTGCCTGAAAATGTTCATCCTTGTGGAGGACTCAACACAAAGTAATTTGCAGTGATGAGAAGCAGAGAAGATGGTGATTCTGACCACAACATTTCTGACAAGGCTTCCTTCAATTAGGCAGCCTGTGAATCTGTTATGTTTTTTCTTTTGCAGTAATTGTGTAAATGTGAGAATGTCTCTGTTGATGGAAGGTTGCTGGTGGGTGTAGCACTGCTGTCACAGTCCTCACATGGGAATGTAGTTTTGCTGTGTTTTACTGGACAGCCAATGCTGGCAGAGGCAACAGACCTGAGCTAGCACCTTACCAGCAGTTACATGAATATATTTTTATCACATTATGATAAAAAAATCATGTTGATAAAAATTATGTTCTTACAGTAGGAAAAAAATGTTTCATTAGAGGTACAAGATAAGATGGGTAATTATTTCTGAATAGTCTCAGAAGTTAAGAAAAATAAATCCTATCAAATGACAGACTGAAAAATTGTAATAGATTATTTTTTACACACAAACCCTAAGATTTTGTTATCACCTGTAGCATACTCTCTAGGAGGGCACTCTCACATCCTGGTTAACACAGAAATAAAATCTTGAAAAATCCTTCAAGAAAATCTTTTTGCACTTGCACAGCAATCTGTACAGGCTCAAACAGCTCACCTGTGCTATGTTTTAATGCTTCAACATATCAGAATCACTTAATATTGCTTGCAACAATGCTTAATAATGCTTAAACCAAGATACAAATACACTTTCCCATGTCACACTTCAGATTTGTGTGCTTATCTGCACAAGTGAGTGCACAGAGAAATGCATTTCAGTGCATGATGGAAACAAACCTCCATTTGCAGACAGAAATGCCTGTTATGTTACAGGAGTGCACATGAAATGGGCATGAGCTAAAACAGCACCAGGGAAACACAGGCCTGAAGTCAGAATGAGAAAGGTAATTTTTATATCTACCTATATATTGAGTTCATGTGCCAGGCAATGAGAAAACCCAGCAGTCTTGTCTCAGTGCTATTAAAACAACACCACTTATTCATTTGGTTCTGACTGCTATTGAGAGGTTATTTTGGCTTTTTGAAATTATTAATGCTATTTCCTTTGGTATGAATTTTGATAGTCTTTTGACATTTCCATCTGTTCTTGTGTTTCTTAAACTAAGATTGTTATAATATTGTTTTAAAAATCACACAAGTATAATAGCTTGAGAAGGAAACTTTCACCCACTTTAAACAAACAAAAATAAAATGAACCCACTGACCTAATGTTTTACAAGAACCAGAGAGAAAAATCTGGGGAGAGAGGGGGAGTTACTTCCAAGACACATTTCCCTGAAAACATGTTTTTTATTTAAGAAGCAGAGGTCAGATAAAAGCTTGTATAAGCCCTGTTCTTTGTTACTTTTGGAAAATAGTTTTATAAGGTTAAAAATTGTTTCCAAATTTAAGTTTTGTGTACCTCACTTCATTTGAACAATGGGAATTAAGAAACCATTCCAAAAGAAAATTAATTCTCAGGTGAAATTAATGTACAGGAAATATTTTGAATCTGGAACACTGTGCCCAGGAATTGGGTTCAGATTCTTCCAGTGCAACCTCAACGTAAAGCAAAAGTCATTTGTTATACCCAGGGACAGATACACACCTAATATCTGTAATTTGTTAAGGTCTGTTGGTATTCCTCTGATAACCTTTTATGGGGGCAGGAGGGAGGTTATTGTCACTTCTGCTGCAAATCTGTCCTGTCTGAGCAGCAGATGTGGTTCCCACTTCTCTCTCATATATAAAAACATTTAAATGCTCTATTTAATTCCACCATTGGTATAAGAAGCCAAACCGAGTCCCCCATCTCACCCTGAAAGCATCTCAGTGCCACTGCTCCATTTCTCCAGCTTTGAGACTAAAGACAAGTTTTGTTCTGCTAAATGAAAGCGATCAAGTGGTTAATCCTTTCAAGTGCAATTAGCAGCACTGACCTCCCTGTTCTTTAAAATGAGGGTCATGGGGAGGTAAAGGCCAGTTCTGGGCCTTTCCTTTCATATCAGAACACCCCTTCACTAACTATCTCTTCTGTTTCCAAAAACATCAGAGACCAAGAGGGAAAAACAGGCTTCTGCTTCCATTAGCAGTAACTTAAACAGCCATAAGTTAAAGGGGGAGGAAAAGGAAGAGCATCTCTATCTCCTTTCACAACAGAAGACATCTGGCCTCCTGTGGGGAGGCCCCAGATAACAAAGAACCTGTCACTGCAACCTCCGCGATGTGTTCAGAGAACCATTTTACCTGCAGTCTGGCTCATTCATTTCCTGCCACTGCAGCCATCTGCTTTTGCTTATTGTGGGTATTTTTGTTCTTTCTTTGGCCAGGAGCATGAAGTGGCTTCACTTTAGCATGCCTGTATGCTTGGTCAGAGGGAGTATTTAATCCTTCTCTCGAAATGAATAAGAGAGGGAGCTGCAAAAAACAATTCCTTTCCTGGAAGGTAGCACAAATGTCATCCAAGCTGAGGTTGAATAAAGGGTCATGTCAGTGCATGGGGTAAAGATACATTGAGATTGAAAAGAGATGCCAACTTGGAATCTACAGCAGAACCTTCCAAAGTATTTGTAATCTTACCTTATTTAAATCCTTTTCTGCTGCTTCCTGCAATTATTTTTCAGTTGGAGTCCATCTGGTTTTCCACAGTGCTCTTCAGGCCCAGTTGCAGAGTAATACAGCAATCTGTTCTTGCTTTTCTCTTGCACTGAGCTTCAGTATTTTGCTTGACTGCTTTAAAAATCAGTCTACAGAAGTGATGGTTCTAGCTCACTTGTATAAAATTTAGTGTGATAGGAAAATGCTAAGTATCCCTACCTTTGGAAGGGCCAAAAGAAGGATGGGGGTAGATTTCCATTAGTTTACTATATTTCCATCATTTACTATAATACACTCCAAGGTACCATTAAGTTGTGTCTCAGAGTATTCTGGGACACAAAATTAACAGTGATTGCAGCACAGTTAAAACAGGAAAGCTTTTCCACTAAGATTAAAATATCATGTGGCAGTTAAAGCCCTGATCTACTGATACTGGAATATGAGGTCACCTATTAAGGTGCTGAAGAACTCTGTAATTCCTCAACTGTTACCCCTTGTCTTCAGGGACACCATTTTAGTAGAATTCCAGTGCTGTCATTAATAAGACTGTGAACTGTGACTGGTGACACTCAGTAATACTGACATTCAAAGGAAGTGTTTATATGAAAAATGTACCACGTTCTTCCTGTTCACTTGTTGGGAAGGATAACACATCACTGCCATTTTATGGATCCCAAAGAGAAATGAGATGCTGCAGAATTTTGAAAGTAGGGTATCACATTAAACTAAAACCACTCATAGTGGTGTGATTTCTTTACCACTATCTGCCAGAAATAAATTCACATAGTTCTTGAGTTCCACAGCAAGAGGTGGGAACTACTCCTCTAATGCAAAGCAGACAGCAGACTTTGTATTTTCACCTCATGGAAAGTGGAAATTTTTGTCTAACTTTAGCAATACTGGTGTGGTTCCCACAGGATTTTACTGTTGACTTTTCAGACCACTGGTGTTGCAATAGGATGTTTAGAAACACACCACAGCAGGGAATGCTCCACACCAGCACCCCCCAACCGGAGTCCCACTCCACGCAGCACCCTGTGCACTGGCCTTCCCTTCCCTAGGAAGTCATTTCTGCCTCTGAATAACAAATCTCTACGTAGGAAACTTGGCCCATCAGCCAGTCGAACTCAGCACCAAACCTAAAAGCTGAGAATTGTTACTTTAAAGTTTCTGATGATAAAATGTTTCAACAACAAGGCTCGATGTTCACACATGGCAGTAAGAACATATATGGACACATGCAGAAGTAGGTGTACACGTGTTAGTGTCAATAAACATATACCTCTCTCCTAGAAATAAATGCACTAGGACACCTGCCAGATATTTCCTCTGTTGCTGTTTCTGTCCTAGGAAATATGAAGAAAATCAAAGTGTGGTATCCGAGTTTACAGTATTAAACTGTTACACGTACAGAGCAAATGTATAATTTAATTAGAGAGACATAGAGCTGAGCCTGCTAAGGTACATAGATGAGTAGTTTGACTAGGAATTCATACAAGTGTGGATATACTATCCAGCACAAGTGCTGCATTATCCCTCCAAACAATACACTGGGAAAAACAAATAATATTTTATTTTTTATAACCATTCCAAATATTGCTGCTGCTGAGTCGAGTGAAGCTCCCTACACTTCTCACTTAACCTGTCACATTTTCTTTGCAGGTCCAAGCAGTGCTGAAGTATTAGATTTGATAATAAATAAATAAATAAATAAAATTAAGGACACCCAACTAGGCTGAACAGGACATACCAAAGTACTTAAAAGAGTAAAACTGCAAGCTAAACTCTAGAGACTGCTGAACTACACCTGTACAGGGGAAATGCAAGTAGTTTATAAATTCCTCAGTTTATACTAGCATTTATTCTATTTTTATATAATTTTATTACAAACAACAGCATGTAAATCTATTAATGTAAATCTATTAATGTAAATTTCATAACGTATCTTCTGTCCTTCCCAAATGGGATAAGATTTGGCCTTTACTCAGGAGAATGTGTTTGTACACATGATCTGGTATAACCTATAACTTCAATAAAACAAGTTCTCTGAGGTAATAACATGGACTCTCCATTTTTTTGCAAAATGACATCTCAGTGTGATCTTCAACAGACATGGTATCAACAAGGATTGAATATAATCTCTGGCTACATTAATGGCTGGATTTAAGGATAGTTGAGGACCCTTCAGCCTTTCCTCCTAATGAGTTTCCATATGGAAAACCTTTCTTCTACTCAATTAAAAATTGAATTATAAAAAACATTCCTAGGAAGCACTCAGTTTTCAAGCGTTTAATATAATCAGTGAGGTGGGGTTTTTTAACCATAGTTGAATGCAAACCTCACAGCCCAAAGGTCTGCTTTAGCACAGCTTTCTGAAGTTATTTGCTTTGAAGATGGATGCTAGTGAATTGAAGAGAATCAAACTCTTTTTAGGTCTAAAAAAGTATCCTTAGTATCTTTTCTGCAGAAGACCCAAAGAAGACTTCGGGTTCCAGTAAAAGAAGGTTTCTTTTCTTTTACATATGTTCCTCCTAATGCCAAATACTAAAAAAAAAAAAAAAAAAAAATTATTTCAAGAACATAATAACATTTTATTTCTTTCAAAAATTGTTTTTGAGGTTTCAGTTTTATGACTAAATTGTTTGCCAAATGCAGCATGAATTCCAACTGACCTGCATTTTCCAGTGATTAGTCTGTGCAGCTGAAATGTTCTATACAGCTTTCTCTGCTCACAGCCTTCCTTTGGGCCCAATCAGTGCTACAGTCTCTTTACTTTTTTTTTTTTTGTCGTATTTCCAGCAGACAAGGAAGCAACTTGATACAGCCTCAATTGTCAGAAACATCATGTAAAGCACCTCCATCTACTTGAAGCGCTTGGATCACGTTACTTCCTCTTTTAACCTCACACATGTCCAAGTGTGTTTAGAATATTGGCTTTGATCTGCAATACCTACATCAGGTAAG